AGCATGATTGTATGACCGGCGGGGGGGAGGGGTTTAATCATACGATATTTAGTTGCCTACCCTGTCTCGAAAACCTGTGCACGCCACTGATTGCTAGCACTCTTATGTAACGCGTGTAACTAGACGCAGCCTGAATACATACTGACTAAGTAAATATGGAACAGGGCTGTTAATGGCGAGTTTTTAAAGAAATTGTATTGTTTGTTAAAGAAGAATGAATTACAACTGTTCAATACAATAAAATATTTAAAAATAAACACACTTTCATTAATTGAACTTATTACCAACTAAATTTTAGTATTTTTCAAGCAAATTTTTTAAGAAATATGTATGCCGTTTGACGCTAAAAAAACGTGACGTCACAATACACAATCTCGTACAAAATTCATAGGAAACTGACGTATTTGACAATTCGAAAAAAGTATTGAATTTGACTAGTTAGTTAGCAAGTACCCAATTTTAATTATTAATAGACATTTTATTCGTTACTTTATGGCCAGATTTTGATTCGATATTTAGTTTATTTAAAGCTACGTTGTTTTTATTGGCATTAACGAATCGACGAATTTTCTGCTGATAGGTAAGTGGTAATCAATCGCCGCCCATGGATATCTACAGTACCAAAGGAGTTACAAATGCATTGCTGGTTTATTGAATGGGTGAATGGGCTTTATAATGTCATAGATAAACTGTATTTAAATATCGGTCTTATCACTAACATATCAAGGTTTAAATAACATGAAACACAAAGGTGACAAAGGTTTTAATTAAAACTAAATCAAACGTGCAACCATATCAAAAGACCAATTGGACAACCCTATCACATCGATACCTACATACGTGGCATGACAAGAATCGTAAGATTCTTTAAATGGTTTCATAATTTTTATGTAATATATCAGGTCTATTCTAGTTTTTGTGAATATTAATGAAGTTAAACGCATTTTTGGTGTACTGCGCATTTTGTTTCCGCAAACATCTTTGAACTGCGTATTAATAAATCTATAAATCCAAGTTGGAATGGCTTATGACGCCATGATACCATAAAACATTAATTAATAAAGTCTGTTCCCTACAAATTATGTTGGATTATTACATATTTTTTACAATAAATTACAAAATAAACTTTGTAAAGATTAACTCGAACATTTTATGATGTTGTTCACATTTACTTCAAGTCTGAACTTTAATTCTTTATCCATAGCTCCTTTCATAGATTAAAACATAAAACAATTATCATTTTAAACTGTTGAAGTACACCATGATATGTCAATTAACTAATGCAACCTAGAAATAACAATTACTAGATAGAAAATGTATCGTTTACAATGCAATTGACACATTTAATAGATTAAAACTTCATGACGCTTGGAAAACTAACTAATCCATTACTTTTTTGTTATTACAGCTAGCTGCTCTAATAACCACCTATATTTAGTTTAAAAAAAATAACAGTATGAGGAAAAGTGTGCGAAAAATTAATTTAAAATCACGTCAATGTATTATGTACGCAGAACTTCTCACTTATATGCGAAAAAACCTAGATTAAACATAACCAAATGAATACTAAAGTACATAGTTTGTGTTCTAAAGTGCTAGAACATTCGATTTCACCAATAATTCTTAATTAAACACGAAGAACAGGCTAACGTATTTACAAATTAAGCTATGTAAACCAGTATAAACAGACCGTTGGATGCGAGAAAAGATCATGTAAAGCAAGACCATGATACATTAGTGTTGTCAGTTCATCACCTTCACCTTTTATTGGTCAGAGTTAATTGGGGGAATATGTTTGCCCAACGCTACGACACGGTCGAACAAACAGCCTGACCCAGCATATGTATGTAGGTACCATGTTACAAAGTACAATACAAAGGTTTTGTACTGTTGTATTGAAGGGACTACATTATCCAAACGTGTTGGTCCTTTCTCGGTCCTTTGAGGCGAATGTTGTTGTTTATCAAATAAATGTCATACATGCCATACAAATCAGGTTTTTGTTTATTTTACTTGTATGTACCTACTGTTTTTCATAGTATTTTAATTAATGACTATTTAGTCATTTTTCCTGTAATCTTATTCTCAATCTACATATTTAGCTAGTTCCTATGATATGGGTATCTATGTAATATAAAATATCTCCATGTATGGAACGATTCATATGATCTTTATTCATATTCCCTTTTAAAAGGCCGGCAACGCACCTGTGACTCCTCTGGTGTTGCGGGTGTCCATGGGCGACGCCGATCGCTTACCATCAGGTGATCCGTCTGCTCGTTTGCCTCCTATTAGATAAAAAAAAATTTAGTCATCTTATCCATGTTGTTACTTATTGACTGCTTAGAGAAGCCATTACATTGAACTTCCGCATCAAAGTCGAACTTCATAGGACTGTTATGGTAAGGTAACGCGGGCGGTGACCTTTAAAAAAACACGTAAGCCTGATCTCTTTTTATAATGTACTTATGAACATTCGAACAGTACCCACGTATTTATTGTATCATAAAAACTTGGAGAAGAAAAATTGGTCTTTTTGTCCGCACTGGTCCTTTTGGTTCGACGTGCTCCAATGAAGCGTTTTAAGATAGTTAAACGAATGATTCATTCAATGCGTATTATTTTCTCGTTTACGTAAAGATTTTAAGATAACCAGTTTTATCTCTTCCATGTAGCGTAAATTTTAGCTGTCCTCAAGTAAACAATTCATAAATTTATTGTTTGATTTACTCTACGTATTTCGCATATTATTTTAAGTCTTAAGTGCTTTGGTAATTACTTCTGTTATTTACATATTATTGCTGTTTTCCGTCTACTAAACGACCGGCAATAAGTGAAGAACGTTTTCCAACTTTATTTGAATAAATGGCAATTGGCAATTGGCTGGTTTAAGCGTAGATGTTAAAAATAAGTGACGTCACTGTCGATGTATCGTCAATGTCAACATCAAAGTCCAAAGTAGGATAGATTCTCAAAAACGAACTGATTGATTCAGAGAAAATCTTGCGCAAGATCGGATTCACCGTCCTTTGGAAGCTGCGCCCTCCATTATGATATTTTTCTGCGAATTCTTTCAAAATACTTGTATTTTTCCTGTTTGTTTTCATGTTATGGATATTTGGTTAGTAACAAATAGCGTATAGCGTCATCATGACCAATTTCATTTTCTTTCTTACGTTTGGTCTTTTGAGTCGTAAACTAGCACATGGTTAGTTCCAAGATTAAATCACCCACCACTGAATCATAATAATTATGTTCAAAATTATAATGCGTTTTTCATACCTACACGTTTCTATATAAATTTCGATCAATCGACACAAAACATAATATAGTTTTTTCATGAAACAACCTAAAACTCTTGATTTATTTTCTAGAGGTGACAACTAATGCTTTAGAAACTATTATTTCTATCTAATTTATCATTCGAGCCTTTCACGAACATTTGAAAGTTGAAAATATTGAATATCTGCTGCTTAAATATTGTATGTACCTATATGTATTATGTACGTGTAAAATTATTTTGGATACCGTCTTCTTACTGTTATAGGTAGAGGTACGTGAGCTCAACAACGTCATCTCAGCTGTTTCTTTTTTCGATAACATTTATGTAAGTTACTTCGACCCGAGTACAAGACTAATCAGTGGTAACCAAGTAGATACATCTAAGTACTAACTGAAAAATTGTAGTTAAAGTAAAAATCAAGGACTCCTTGTTAGTGAGTATAAAAAAGGGATTTTTGAACAAACTGAACTGCTACGTGCTACTCAAATTCTCGGAAAGGACCACTTTTTAAAGCGAAACAACATTTTATCACAGAAATATAATTTGTAGCGATCATCGCTTAAGGTACAAATTACTCTGTGAGTGAAAGGAGAAATGTACGTGTTGTGTAGCGCGTACGCACCGTTAATGACTGCTGCGCGAGCTATTTTTGGATCTTAGAACCTGATTGGCGAGTCTGCGGCGGGTTTTGCAGCCTTCTCGGCTGC